TTGGTAAGATTTAGTAAAAGTTTTCCATGGACTATTGGAGACTTTTATTTTTTTAAAAAATATAAACATATATAATGTAATATTTTAAACAACTTTTTATATGACCAAATCATCCACAACTCATATAATAAATCAAAAATGCAAATGTTAAGCCTCTGTTTGGCCCCCATTATTTTGCATTTTTTGGGGGTTGAAAATTTTTAGAATAGTGATTGATGGGAGAATGTGTGGTTGAATTTTTTTTTATTTGTATGTAATATTATTTTATTTGATGAATGTGTGGTTGAAATGAAGAGAGAGAAAAATGTAATGTAATGTAATGTAATGTAATTTAATGGGGGTCAAACAAGGGCTAAGCATCCTCAAACACAACATAATAAATACGTCTCAGCATTTGCCAAGCTCGAGCAGGTTTGGATTCATTGCCATTAGCTGACCTCTTAATGGTAAGCTGAAGAATGGCATGTGAACGGAATGATTCCTCGCTTGAACCAGTGGTGCCCGTACTTCTTGTTGCATTTCCTTTCTCGATAAGGTCCTTAATTGTCTCCAAATCTGATATTGCAAGCCTACAATATAAACTTTTTTGGACTTCATTGGCATTAGCTGTCTTTTGGACTTCAAAGAACAAAATATGGACATCAACATTAAATCCACCTTCCAAATTATGTTCCGTTAAAATAATCAAACAAAAGCCTTCTAATCTTTCGGCTATTCTTCAAGGCATCAGTATTACCATAGCTAAGAAATCATCGAACACGGAAAAAAGCCAAATGAACTTAACTATTTTACTAACCAGTAACCACTCCCATTACTGCAATCACTTTACACAATCAGTGGACTAAACAGAAGGACATCACTTTTTTTTTTTCTGCAGGTTTTTCCGTGCTATAAATCAAGCAAAACGAGTGACTTCCATTCATGCTGGCTACACGGTGAAAATTAATTCCACTGAACTGAATTTTTTCACTTCAAACTTCCCTCGTATTTCAATATGCATCACTCATAATAGCACGAACACGCTATTACTAGGTAGCCCATTTAACATATTTCATATCTTCATGACAAATCAACAAATCGAACCACAGATCATCAAAATGGCGACTTGCAAAATTTCAGCAGATAGTTTCTGGAAAAAAAAATGCTGACCTGTAGAACCAGTGAAAATTTTCACCGGAAGAGATGGAGGAGAAAACACTAGAATGGCCTTATTTTTTTTTTTAGGGGGGGTTGGGGAATCTCTCGTGGGAGGAGAGATTTGTTTTGAGAATTTTCCTTTGTATTTCCCTAACATATAAAAGAGCCTATCTTTTGTCCTGGACACGTGTTAGCTTTTCCCATCGTCCTAATTCAGGTTTTTTTTTTTTTACGCAAAAAAGGTCAGGAAACAGCACTAAAGTCCATTAGGGTTTGGAGTTTTGTTGTTTCCATCTTCTCCTCCTATCCCTCCACTATTTTACCCTCCATTTCACAGGCTGCCTTTAAAAGCTCAAAACGTCAGGAAACAGCACTAAAGTCCATTAGGGTTTGGAGTTTCGTTCTTTCCATCTTCTCTTCTCTTCTCTCCCTCCACTAATTTTTCATCCAAAATCCATTACAAATCAAATACCAATTGAAAAGGAAAACCGTCTGTAGCCAAATCCAAAATCCTTGAGGAAGGAACGAAATTGGGTTGTGCAACATATGAGGAGCAATGATGATATTAGAAGTGGAAGGAGGAGGCAGTTCACTGGTGTTCTGTTCTATATTTCCAGCCCTCTGCCTTTAGGTTTCCAGCGGCGTC